TCAATTCTCGGTTGTGGATGCGCCCTGCTGATGCGTCCCAAATATAGGACGAAACGGCCGTTCAGTGCTTTCTGCATTCTGTTGAGGTTTCTATCAGACTCGATGAATTACTTAATTATGATTATCACCAATCCTCCTAATAATTTCTATCTGTGTATATCATTGCTTGAACCGGCTTCTAATGCTCTAGAGTGAGCGGCTGGGTGAGAGTAGTCGTGGCTCCTGGGGGCACAGTCCTATAGTTACAGAGAACTCAGTAAGAGTTCCACCACGGAATATGTGAGCGAGCGGCGCTATGTCGAGTCTGATTTGCAATCTCTTCGTCACCGAGGCCCGGTATGATGTTTGTTTGACAACCTAACTGCCAGGGTTTCAATTCTCGGTTGTGGATGCGCACTGCTGATGACTCCCAAATATAGGACGAAACGGCCGTCCAGTGCTTTCTGCATTCTGTTGAGATTTCTTTCAGACTCGATGAATCACATAAGCTATGATCAGAGTGGTTAATATAGACGTAACAACAGAGATATGCACTGTCAAAGATAAGATCCTGATTTATTTACATAGAAGAGACAGGTCGTAAATTCATGTCCGATGTCATAGAGCCGCGTTATGAATTTACGACCTGCGTCGGCGCAGTAAACTTCTATGCAAACAAAACAGTTCTTTTCTCGTACTTCCCACCTGTGAAATGCTCTTCCGTTTTCTTGCTTTCATGATAACTACAATCTACAAAAATTTAAACACAACGTTAATCGCCATCTTCTGTCTTCTTCAACCCTGTTCATCTTTTGTCCTTTCCTCAATCCTCCTATCCCCTTTTATCAAGCATATTTTCACTTTCACTTTTGGGTTTTCACTTTCACTCCCTGTAACCACCTGCGTACTAGTGGTATACACGCTTTGCTTGGGTTGAAATGATTAAAAAATAAATAAAAAAAAACTTTTCTAATGGAAACCAGCTTCAAATCGTCGAAATGTTTTTTTCACATGAAAGCCTAATGAATTTTACTCATCGGTATCGTAATAAGAGGCAAATAATGGGGAATATATAACTGAATAATTTTTAATTACACTTTGTTTTTGAAATTATTATAAACTAAAACGAACACTATTTATAACTCAAGAAGTATACTAACTAAATATAGCGTTTATAAATATATCTACGTACCTACTCATATAAGACATAGTGAAATCAGTGACAGTATTCGCTTGACTCAATCGGTTTGTGAGTCAACGATTGGACTACATTTGGTGAACAACCCGGGTTGCGCTTTCAAATTTTCTGACGGAGCGTTTAGGATACTACTCAAAGCACGTTTGGCTAAACAATTATTTTTTTTTCAGAAGCTTTTCATGTCAAGCTTCATCGACCAAGCTGGCAGGCAGAAGGAGAACTGTCTTCGTTCTGTGTCTAGTGGGTGGGTCGTGATACAATCTTATTTTTCTGTTTTATACTCACTAGGAGCTTATTTACATCGATTTATGGTTTTACTAATAAATTTAACCTAAATAGTGGCTTACTTATTTACTCCCCTAAAAAGGTTTTTTTCAGTTTAAAATGTTGATGATTATTATTGTCTGTTTACTTTTTTAACAAATCTTTCTGAAGAAATGTATATATATATATATATATATATATATATATATATGTGTGTGTGTGTGTGTGTGTAAACCAAATTTTAAAACAATATATATATATATATATATATATATATATATATATATATATATAATGCATTTCATTGAATACGACAAGGTGACTTGTGTTAGTTTTTTACAAATTATATAAAACTGTCCTAATGTTAAATATATAATCTATCATCAAAAAAAAAAACAATTATTAGATCGCATGAGAAATTGTATAAAATACTAAATAAAAAAAAACTTTTGTCTGCCATTTTCAATCAAATGTGCAAAAAGATTGCTACCTAAATACACACATACACAAACCAAATCTATAACTATATATATATATATATATATATATATATATATATATATTGTCATCCACAAAAAGACTGTTCCGCTGTATCACAGTTCATCAGTGTGGCTAGGCGTCCGGTTGCCTCTAGCTAGGATCGAAACCCGACTCAATTGGCGTTAGTCGGGATTCTACTACTAAGCCGTTGGCGCACGGCAGGGATGAAGGCGAATTTAAGCGTATTTATTTTTAGATAAACACACAGAGACTGAGAGAACTCGATTCGATTTACCGAAGAGTCTTGCATTAAACCAAATCTCTTACTTTCAACCCATTCTGAAGGACTATATGAGGATTTTATTTGGATTCATTTCAGAAAAGGCTAATGAATTTCTTACTTTCGAGCCATTCTGATAATGAAAACAGGATTTTTGCTTTTTAATTCGATACAAAAAAAAAAGCTCTGAAAATACATCAACAACTTTCGACTCGAACTAAGAATAAAGATACTAAAGTGAATATTTACGACTTTTATTTTTAAAAGTTATTCATTTTCTTTCTTCTTTAATCACAAGAAACACCAGTTTAGGGGAAAAAAGTATAATTAAGCATACACACAAATACACGTAGACGCATTTCATTCTTTCCTTTTCGGGTCTGATTAAGCCTTGAACGTTCCTAATTGTCAACATTTAAAAGCTAGTAATTCGTTGAGCCTCCAATAATCCTCAACAGAACGCACTGTACGGCCGTTTCGTCTTATCTAGGACTCATCAGAAGTGCGCATCCACTACCGAAAGTCGAACGCGGACCGTTTCCGATACAACGCAAACGTCATACCAACTGTACCACGGGCCTCGGTGACGGAAGAGACACAAACTAGACTCGATATAGCGTCGCTACTCACTCAGTTCGGCAGCGATACTCATCGAAGTATTCAGATAGCCTCGGAACACTGCCCCAAGAGCCACGACTCTTTGGGGCACTGTTTTCTACTGATTCTCACTGTTCCGAGGTTATCCGTTATCCGTGTGTCTCAAACCATTTTGTACATATGTAGATTTACATGTATTGATGTCTACGCGTACATCTACAAGTGTGTCCCCGTATTGATACCTACGTGTACGTCGATAGGGTGGTCTTGTCACCGTCTACCAAAAGTAATGAGACAAATCGAAGAACAATACATTAATACAAAGGACATCTACTGGATTCAATTTATTCACTTTCATTGACGCTGTCACACATCGAAAAGGTTTGTATGAACGCCATCATTTTCATGTCAGCCATCTTAAAATAGAAAATTATATTATGTATTGGGTGACAAGACTTTCAGACCACTGTCTAATAATCATATATATTATATTATGTATAATTATATATATAATATATATGTATAATATATATCATATATCATATATATATTATATATATATATATAATATTATATATATAATATATATATTATGTAGGGGTTATAAGACTTTCGGATCACACTGTATCTATCTATCTAAATGGTGCTCTGAAAATCTTGTCACCCGCTCCCAAAAAGTAATGAGACGAATAGAAGAACTAGTCATACAGTAATACAAAGCTCATGTACTGGATTTAGTTTATTCAATATCATTGACTCTGTCACACATCGAAAAGGTCTGTGTGAACGCCATCATTTTCGTGTCAGCCATCTGAAATAGAAAAATTAGATTACGTAGGGGTGACAAGACTTTCGGACCAAACTCACTCCTATCTATCTATCTATCTATCTATCTATCTATCTATCTCCCAGTCCATTCTTCATCTATTTATCTATATTTCAGTCTATTCATATTTAGCTATCTAAATGGTGCTCCGAAACTCGAGTCCTGCTACCAAAAATTCATGAGACCAACAGAAGAACAAGTCATACAGTAATACAAAGGACGTGTACTGGATTCAGTTTATTCACTTTCATTGACGCTGTCACACATCGGGAAGGTCTGTATGAACGCCATCACTTTCGTGTCAGCCATCTGAAATAGAAAATTATATTATGTAGGAGTGACAAGAGTTTCGGACCACCCTGTCGATATTCCCCGGTCTATACGCTTCGTTCTTTCGCGCGCTCTCAGACACTAAATGAAGCATCTAGGGTCGACTTCTTCTTAAACCCTATGCCTCTTCATGAAGTCGGCTGGCATGCCTCCTCGAAGCTTCCGTTTACTAGTTATCTGCGAATTATAATTTCCTGCTCAAAGACAGCGAACTTGTTTCCAGTTTGCCTACACCACGCCTTTTTTTTTTTTTTTGCAGCCACAGTGGTCCGTCTCCCAGAGAGGGGACCAGCCAAGGATAGAACGTCCAGTCTACTTTGCTACTTAATCCCAAGTTAGCGACCAGAGGTGATAGATTCGTGCCTTTTCCTGGTCGCATTTGTGCGAAAGAGAACGCTTCAAACAAAACGAATCACGGAAAGCTCTTCCCGCATATTCAAAGGCTTTCGGGCTCCAAAACCCTTTACGCAGCCTGGACGGTTCAGTGCTCCGCTCCAGCGGGTCTTTCATCAGGCATTGGTGCACTTCCAGACTGTGGTACAAATCACACCCTTTTACTCTTACCACTCACAAAACAACCGCCTTTCAATAATTCTCTAGTTTGAGTGGATCTTGGGCCTTGTAACAAGTGAACATTAGTAAAAAAAAATAAATAAATAAATAAATAGGAGCAGGTAGGCTCTGCCATACCAGATGAAATTGCGGAAACAATCGAACAGTAAATGTGTAATAAAATCACAGATTCAAACGTACCAAAGTCCTGTTTTAATCATTTCACCCCAGGCAAGGCGAGAATGCCACCCGTACGCAGTAGATTGCAGAGAGTGAAAGCGTTGTAACCTAGAAAAGGTAATTGAATGAGGAATAACCAAAACGGAGGTTGGAAATGAAATGGTAATCTTTATAACATCAACAAAATACAATACTCGCCAGCGGCGTGAAATAGGTAAACCACTGCAAGTGGTGGACTACTTAGATAGCATATTACCCCACACTTACAATAGTGTGCAACGTATTTATGAGGATTGGGACATACCCATTAGTGTTTATAAGTACGGTATATAATAGATAGATAGATAGATAGATAGATAGATAGATAGATAGATAGATAGATAGATAGATAGATATAATGAAAATGAAAGAGAAAGAAAAATCAAAAGGAAGATAGATAGACAGATAATGGAAAGACTGTGATAGATAGATAGATAGATAGATAGATAGATAGATAGATAGATAGATATAATGAAAATGAAAGAGAAAGAAAAATCAAAAGGAAGATAGATAGATAATGGAAAGACTGTGATGATAGATAGATAGATAGATAGATAGATAGATAGATATAATGATAAATGAAAGAAAGAAAAGAAAAATGTTTTGGAAGATAGATAGACAGATAATGGAAAGACTGTGATAGATAGATAGATAGATAGATAGATAGATAGATAGATAGATAGTGTTGTAACCTAGAAAGGGTTACTGAATGAGGAATAACCAAAACGGAGGTTGGAAATGAAAAGGTAATCTTTATAACATTAACAAAGTACAATACTCGCCAGCGGCGTGAAGTAGGTAAACCAGTGCTAGAGGTGCACTACTTAGACAGCATACTACGATATTTACCTGCCTCCCCACGAGGTAGGATGTGGCACAAGGCCAAATTTAATGTGGGGAAATCCGAGCCCGTGGGCTTCGGCAAAAATTGCCCGTAGACCCCGCAGGATACGCGGGATCGGGTATCTGTCTACCTTCCCGGACGAGCCTCTACCCTTCGGCATAGCCTCGACCAGGTTCCTCTCTACCCAAAGGAAGAGAGTTCGACACGGTAAGATCTTCTCACGCTGCCAGCTCCCACTTACATAGTGTCCAACGTATTCATGAGGATAGGGACATACCTATTAGTATTCATAGGTACGGTATATAACAGAAAGTGAGAGAAAATATATAGTGGGGATTGAGGAAAGGACAAAAGATGTACAGTGTTGAAGAAGACAGAAGATGGCAATTGACGTTGCAGCTGAACAGCTTCTAAAAAAACGTAAATGTTTAACCAACCGTGCTTTGAGCAGTATCCTGAACGCTTCGTCAGAATATTTCAAAGCAGCAACCCGGGTTGTTCATGAAATGTAGTCCAATCGCTGACTCACAAACCCATTGAGTCAAGCGATTACTGTCAAAACTGTCCCAAAAATTATATAGGTTATATATATATATATATATATATATATATATATATATATATATATATATAAACGCTATATTTAGTTAGTATACTTGTTGATTTATAAATAGTGTTCGTTTTAGTTTATCAACGTTGTTCTTCAAAAACAAAGTGTGATTAAAAATTATTCAGTTATATATTCACTATTATTTGCTACTTATTAGAGAACTCTATGATACCGATTAGTAAAATTCATTAGGTTTCCATGTGAAAAAAAAACAAAAACTTTCGACGACTTGAAGCTGGTGTTCACTAGAAAAGGTATTTTTCATTTTTTTTTTTTTTTTTTAATCATTTCAACCCAAGCAAGGTGGGTATGCCACTAGTACGCAGGCGGTTACTAGGATTTAAAGTGAAAGACAAAACTAGAAATAGAGAAGAATGGGCAAAAATGAGCAGGGTTGACAAAGACAGAAGATGGCGATTGACGTTGCATTTAAATTTTTGAAGACTTTAGTATTCAGGGAAGCAAGTAAACCGAAATGAGTTCCAGTCGGGGCACGAGGAAAAAAAATTACTCCAGAACTTCAAGGTCACAGTATAAATTTTTTCATTTCATTTTATTCATTTCAACAGTTGTGAACTTACCACTTACCTCTTGTTTTGTGGTAAATAGTGACAGTCAAGTTAGAATAGTCCAATGCCTTGCCAGTTCCTTTGCTGGGAGGTTGCTTTTGAGTTTACCCCCATCCCTCCTTTCTTCTAGCCTTTACCTAAAGCGGCCGGAGCTCTAAGGTAGGTTCATTCTCCCAGACTGGTTGACACTCTGTCCTGATATTTTACACATCTCTTCAGCCATAGGAATAGAAGAGATGGATTCATGCCTTTCCCAAGGGTAGACGCGCGTAAGTGAATGCAATGAACTCGACTGGAATTCGAAACCGCTCACCATTCCCCCACCGTGCCTCCACTCCACATAAGAATATCAAATCTAAGTCTGAGTGCTCAAGAGACGATTTGACATTTTTCTTTTTCAATCGCCGTATGTAAACAATCCTCTTGAGAAATTAGTAAAAATTTTTTTTTAGCAACGTCTCTTTGGCATTTCAGTCAAAAATAAATCACAGCGACAACCTTGGCTGTGTCTTTCTGATGTTAAGCAGAAGGGTACTTTTAGTTGCCATTGTCTCTAGAAGAATTTTTTCGTTACAATGCTTTCTCAGCATCGGTCTGGAGAACCACACAAAAAGTTTAAAAAATCTCTACTTCATCTGTGAGGATTCACTGCCTTACAGGAGGACTCATCTGTGAAGAGATTGTCCAGCATTCACTGCCATATAGGAGGACTGATATTACGTAACAGTTCAGTACCCTTTTCTTTGTTTCTATTGCTTAAAGTCTCTTCTTCATGGAAAAGGAGATTGTCCAGCATTCACTGCCATATAGGAGGACTGATATTAGATAAAACAGCCCAGTACATTTTTTTTTTGTTTCTGTTGCTTCAAGTCTCTTCTTCATCTGTGAGGAGATTGTCCAGCGTTCACTGCCATATAGGTGGACTGATATTACGTAACAGTTCAGTACTTTTTCTTTGTTTCTGTTTTTCAAGTCTCTTCTTCATCTGTAAAGAGATTGTCCAGCATTCACTGCCATATAGGTGGACTGATATTACGTAACAGTTCAGTACACTTTTTTTTTTCTGTTAAAAAAATTTGTTCTTCTTCATCTGTGAGGAGATTTTCCAGCATTCAATGCCATATAGGAAGACTGATATTACGTAACAGTTTCTTTTTACTCGTTTTTTCTTTGTTTCTGTTGTTTCAAACTTTTCTCTTCATCATCTGTGAGGAGATTTTTCCAGCATTCACTTCATATATTTTGGACTGATATTTGTAACAGTTCATTCCTTTCATTTTTTTTTTGTGTTTTGTTTCAAGTCTTTTCTTCATCTGTGAGGAGATTGTCCAGCATTCACTGCCATATAGGAGGACTGATATTACGTAACAGTTCAGTATTTTTTTTCTTTGTTTCTGTTGTTTCAAGTCTCCTCTTCATCTGTGAGGAGATTGTTCAGCATTCACTGCCATATATGAGGATTGATATTACGTAACAGTTCAGTACTCTTTTCTTTGTTTCTGTTGTTTCAAGTCTCTTCTTCATCTGTGAAAAATTGTAAAAAATTCACTGCCAATATAAAATGGACTGATATTACGTAATTGTTCATTTAAAAACATTTTCTGTTCAAAAATCTTCTTTTCATCATTGAGGAGATATTCCAGCATTCATTTTAGGTGGACTGACGAATTACGTAACAGTTCAAGTAAAATTTTCTTTGTTTCATGTTGCTTCAAGTTCCATTTCTTCATCTGTGTGGAGATTGTCCAGCATTCACTGTCATATAGGAGGACTAATATTACGTAACAGTTCAGTACATTTTTCTTTGTTTCTGTTGCTTTGTTTAAAAGTCTCCTCTTCATCTGTGAGGAGATTGTTCAGCATTCACTGCCATATATGAGGACTGATATTACGTAACAGTTCAGTATTTTTTTTCTTTGTTTTTGTTGTTTCAAGTCTCTTCATCATCTGTGAGGAGATTGTCCAGCATTCACTGCCATAAAAGGTGGACTGATATTACGTAACAGTTCAGTACATCTTTTTTTTGTTTCTGTTGCTTCAATTCTCTTCATCATCTGTGAGGAGATTGTCCAGCATTCACTAAAATATAGGAGGACTGATATTACGTAACAGTTCAGTGTTTCTTTTCTTTTGTTTCTCTTGTTTTCAAGTCTCTTCTTCATCTGTGAGGAATTGTCTACCATTATTTGCCATATAGGAGGACTGATATTACGTAACAATTCAGTACTCTTTTCTTTGTTTCTGTTGATTTTCAAGTCTCCTCTTCATCTCTTGAGGAGATTGTCCAAAATTCACTGCCATATAGGAGGACTGATATTACGTAACATTTCAGTACTCTTTTTTTTTTTTGTTGTTTCAAGTCTCCTTTTTCATCTCTGAGGAGATTGTCCAGCATTCACTGCCATATAGGAGGACTGATATTACGTAACAGTTCAGTATTCTTTTCTTTGTTTCTCTTTTTTCAAGTCTCTTCTGTATCTGTGAGGAGATTGTCCAGCATTCACTGCCATATAGGAGGACTGATATTACGTAACAGTTCAGTACTCTTTTCTTTGTTTCTGTTGCTTCAAGTCTTTTTTTCATCTCTGAGGAGATTGTCCAGCATTCACTTTTTATAGGAGGACTGATATTACGTAACAGTTCAGTATTCTCTTCTTTGTTTCTGTCAATTCAAGTACAATATTTATGTATCTGTGAGGAGATTGTCCAGCATTCACTGCCATATAGGAGGACTGATATTACGTAACAGTTCAGTACTCTTTTCTTTGTTTCTGTTGCTTCAAGTCTCTTCTGTATCTGTGAGGAGATTGTCCAGCATTCACTGCCATATAGGAGGACTGATATTACGTAACAGTTCAGTTCAGATGAAATTTTTCTTTGTTTCTGTTTTTCAAGTCTCCTTTTCATCTCTGAGGAGATTGTCCAGCATTCACTGCCATATAGGAGGACTGATATTACGTAACAGTTCAGTATTCTTTTCTTTGTTTCTGTTGCTTCAAGTCTCCTCTTCATCTGTGAGGAGATTGTTCAGCATTCACTGCCATTTAGGAGGACTGATATTTTTAACAGTTCAAATATCATTTTCTTAACTTTTGTTTTTTTGCTTCAACTCCTTTTTTCATCTCTGAGGAGATTGTCCAGCATTCACTGCCATATAAGGATTTTTGATATTACGTAACAGTGAAATTTATATTCTTTTCTTTGTTGATGTTGCTTCAAGTCTCCTCTTCATCTGTGATTCACTGCCATATTTAGGAGGACTGATATTACGTAACAGTTCAGTAAAATTAATCATTTATTTGTTTTTTATAGTCTCTTCTTTATCTGGAAAAGATTGTCCAAAATTCACTGCCATATAGGAGGATAGATGATATTACGTAACAATTTCAGTATTCTTTTTCTTGGTTTTGTTAATTCATTCTTTTTTTCCCTAATGAAGCTTGTAAATATTCACTGACATATAAGAGCACTGATATCATATAACAGTTCAGTAATGAAATTGATTGGTAACTAACGTATCTTTTCGATCTTTGTAAATAAGGAATATTACTCTCCACTCTAGTGTTATTTGAGTTTAATTAAAATATCTACGTCACGTTATTCTGATATGCATTAAATCCGGTCTGAATTGTTTAGTAAAAATGATCGATACTAGGTCATTATGGCGAA